CTCCTTCATCATTGTCACCCCCAGACCCCAGCTCAGCATCTGACCCAGGGCAGATACTCCATCATTATTTGTTAAATGAGTGAAAAAAAGTATCCCAAACACCTCAACATGCCTCTACCATGTCTATGCCTTTGCCTAGGAGATGATGACGGGGCCTCATCAGAGCCACAGGCACGTCCTCGAGCCACTTCCTGTCCCGGCTGTGGAACCTCACCTTTTAAATCTGTCCCCATGTTGCAGACTCCGCTATGCTCTGATTGTATTTATTTAAAACTTCCCAGTCCCCCTTTAAATCCTATGATGTTCTGTGACTAGCATTGTCTTTGACTTGAGAACATACAATGATTTTGTAGCCTCTGTTACATGATATCAAGCTTCATGGTGAATAATCTCACTTAGAACCAATCAACAAAGGAGTGCAAGAAACTGAGCAGCTCTCCTTAGTAGGATGGCCAGTGTGCTGGTGGGCTTTGCTGAAGTGGAATTTTTCTTTTCACCATTATTTTCATAACCGTATTCAAGGGAAATTCTATTTGGTGTTAAAGGTGATACTTTACCAAGAGTCAAAAGAGAAAACACAGAAGGCTAATTTCTAGTGTTTTTTAGCTAGAAGTCAGAGGTCAAATTATTTTTCTAAGACCCCTGGTGGACAAAGCATTTAATAATCTGGATCAAAGTAAATAAAATATGTTTCTCTGGCCGGGCGCAGTGGCTCATGCCTATAATCCCAGCACTTTGGGGGGCTGAGGCGGGCGGATCACAAGGTCAGGAGATGGGGACTATCCTGGCTAACACAGTGAAACCCCATCTCTATTAAAAATACAACAACAAAAAATCAGCCAGGCATGGTGGCGGGCACCTGTAGTCCCAGCTACTCAGGAGGCTGAGGCAGGAGAATGGCGTGAACCCAGGAGGTGGAGCTTGCAGGGAGCTGAGATCGAGCCACTGCACTCCAGCCTGGGTGATAGAGCAAGATTCTGTCTCAAAAAATAAAAATAAATAAATATATATATATGTGTGTGTGTGTGTGTGTGTATATATGTGTGTGTGTGTGTGTGTGTGTGTGTGTGTATATATGTTTCTCTGTGTGCATGTCTAGAACCTCTTCCCTTCCTGAACATTCTGGGGAGGGGAGGGTTGAGTCATGTGATTTCTCAGACCTCCTGCACTCAGCTCAAACTCTGATGGTCTCATGCTCACTGATGTTTGCCAAGATAGTTATCCATGTTCTGTTTCCATTGTGGGGACCTCAAAGATGACTTTTACTCAACATTTTGCCCAGGTCTGAAACTGCCTCAGTTCTACCTGAGTCATTTGGCAGAGAGGTTGGTGCTAACCTATGCTTCTCTCTTGGCTCTGATAACAAAATGGCTAGGACTCTGTGGGAGGGCATCTCAGGCCAAACTAATCAAATCCCTTCATCCATTCTCAAAAGACCAAGGGCTACTATTAGACAAAGAAAGGGAACCGTTGTTCCTCTACAGAGTTAAAGCTTGTTACATCAGTATATAGACATAGAGTCGCATGATTTTAGGGTCCTTCATCTTTCCTCATACCCCACTGAATAGCTTATTCTTTCAACAAATACTTATTCAATACCAGACGCTGTGTAAGGTGCTAGAATAAAAGTGGAATAATGAGGTTGGGTGCAGTGACTCATGCCTGTAATCCCAGCGCTTTGGGAGGCTGAGGTAGGTGGATCACGAGGTCAGGAGTTCGAGACCAGCCTGGCCAATATGGTGAAACCCCATCTCTACTAAAAATACAAAAATTAGCTGGGCATGGTGGCGCGTGCCAGTAGTCCCAGCTACTTGGGAGGCTGAAGCAGAAAAATTGCTTGAACCGGGGAGGCAGAGGTTGCAGTGAGCTGAGATCACAGCACTGCACTCCAGCCTGGGTGACAGAGAGAGACTCTATCTAAAAAAAAAAAAAAAAAAAAAAAAAAGGAATAATGAAATATTGCCATATTGGCAATACGTATGTATTTTGGCAAATGTTGTGTTTGGCTGTTTGTAATAGAAGCCTGACTACAGTGGCTAAAGCAAGTATGTATTTTATTAGCAAAACCTATCTAGTGTTTTACTATGAGCCATGCCCTGTTCTAAACACTCTTGATAAATGTTTACTTCTTAAGAGGAATTTGCTTCTCTCACATAACAAGAAGTCCAGAGAGTAGAGAGTTCCAGGCAAATGTAGTTTCTGAAAGAAGTCGAAAATTGAGCTGCTGCTTAGAGCTCCTGATTCTCCATCTTTAGTGTGTGATCTTCATTCTTATTTCACAGGATAGTTGCTCCACCTCCAAATATTGCATCCACATTCCAGACAATGCCAGCTGCATCTATCTTATTTTTTTCAGAAGCCCATTAATTAATTTCTACCAATATCTCATTAGCCAGAACTTGGTTATTTGGCCTTCTATAGCTGAAATTCTGGGAATCTATGAAGATAAGTATTTTTTATAGGGCACATTGCTACCCTGAAAATATATATATATGGGCTCTGTTTTCTACTAGTAACAAAGAAAAGGAGATTGAACTCTTGTATATTCGATTCTTGTATATTCACTTTCAAGTTAAGGTAATTTTTTTTCTCTCTCTGGTGAAAATACCTGTCCTAGCCATTACCAAAAAGGACACACTATTTTAAATTCTCCTTTGGTGTTGGAAAAATCTGTCATTTACTCCCTACTAGATTTCAGGAAACAGAAGTGCATAATTGCACATTTAATTTGCTACACACTTGAAACTTTAGAAGATGCAAGACTCGTGTAGTAAAAGCAACTGAAACATCCAGTGGGGAGTGTCTCCCCATAAACCGTGATTTTTGTGGGGGCAAGTTAGGGTATCCAGGGAACTGCTCTGAGCAAGGGGGAGGGAGGTCCAGGTGTACATGTAGCATATCTGGGGAATTCTGTGTAAGTATCAGTCACCCCCAACCTTTAAGGTTGCCCCATTTCACATCTGTGATAATGAAGGCTTTCGGCTAGGGGACTGTGGTTCTGGCTATAGAGTCAGAATGAAAGGAACAGCTGAATATCCCTGTTCAGGGCAGAGGATGAGTCAAGCACGATGTTTACTGAGCAGGGCCAGAGGCAAGAGCCACTTTTTTCTTGCAGCTCTAAGAATTTTTTGTTGCTTTTTTGGTATGCTTTGTTTCTCATACATCAGCATCATCATGCATCGCACATACACGTTGCATATAACAACTGCTTACAGCATGCCAGGCACTGTACTGAGCCCCCTGCAGGTGATGACCCAGTTATTGCTCCCAGCAAGCCTCTAAGGTATGCCATGTTATGATCTCCACTTTGCAGAGAAGGAAACAAGCACAGGTTAAGCAACCTGTCCAGGCTAGTCTGTGTCAGAGCCAGGACCCCAGCCCAGACAGTTGGTCCCATGATCTGTGCTCTTGACTTGCATATGTTGACATTTAATATAATCCACTATTTAATACGTATGTGGTGCTGAGTTAAACAAGAGTGTGTCATTTAGGAAATGGCGACCAAATCGTTCACAATCCGATGAATACTCAATGATGACTACCATGTGTATTTCCTTAAATATACTCAACAATTCCCATCTTCCCCATCAGGGTCCTCACCCAGCAATCCATGTGAGGAAAGGGGCACAAAGTTGGCCCACAGTGGGCACCGAATAGATGCCTATTTAACAAATGAAAGAATGGGCAACTGGAAGAGAATTTGTAGGATATTCGCAGAATCACCAAATCCAATAATTATTTCAATCTAGCATTGCAGTGGCAGGGAGGCAGTTTTTAAGTCTGTGAATGGCTCTTATATAAAAGATGTGGCTCTTTGAGGATGAAACAAGACAAAATGTGGTGATCGTACTTCAGCCTACGTGTTTTGGGGGAGGGAGAATTGAGAAAGTCTCTAGGTCTAAATGCTGGAACAGATGACTGATAAAGTTAGAATTTCTCTTAACTAGCTCATTCAAAGTGTATGAGCATCAGCATTAAACCTAATCTATGGCCTGATACTTAAAAATAACCTGTTATAAAGTAACCATTAAAAAACTCACAAATTTCAGCCTGATTCATTGGGCCACATAAACTACGATCAGCATTAATAGCTTCAGTCAACATTTATGCTGTACTTTCTATTAGCACAATGGGTTTTATAATCATTTATGAGTTTCTGGAAAGTCTAATAGAAAACACACATACGTGTTCTCTGTGGCAAATGCACAATAGGTTTTTGGGGAGTTTTTTGTTTGTTTGTTTGCTCAAGGATAGGCCAGAAGGTGTCGCCACTGCCCCATGACTAAAGTCTGGGCCAGGTTCCCGAATCAGAACTTCTCCCCTGATCGCTTCTGAGATCGCTGGCTCTGTAGCTTCCTCCGGCATTCAGAGTCAGTCTCTCTCTCTCTCTCTCTCTCTCTCTCTCTCTCTCTCTCCCCCTCCCTCCTCCTGTTGATAAATAAACATTCAGGCAGCTTGCATGCTACAGATGAGTACACAAAAGGAAACTTAATTCGAAGACCTAAGTGATAATCTTTCTCTACTGTGGCTTTTAAGAGGTTTAGAAAATTATTTGGATCTGGAATCCATACTTCTCTTCATAGTTTAAGAAAATATTATATTAAAGGCATGCTAAAGTTGTCCCAAATGTTTACCATGCTGGTGTTTTAAACATAGCCAAATACTGGCCAAAGTGTCTTGCCTTTAAAAAAAAAATATGCATTTTGTCATTGTACTAATACTTCTGAACATACGCCAAATATAAGGGTGATTTGTGGAGCTGTATTAAATAAAAAGATGCTTCTTTATATGAATCCCCTATAGAGCTTGGGGAAGCTGCTATATGGAGAATCTGTGTCTTCCTTAAGAAAGTTTCTGAATGCCTTGGAAATATATCAGAAAACACCCCATTCTCCCCACCACAGAGGAGGGTGGGCAACCAACAGTGTCCTATATCCCAACCCACCATAGTTGTAAGACTTAAACCCTACCTTTCAAATAAAGAATCATTTACTGGCCTCTTACTGGAAAGAACTATAGGAGCTTGTCATTTTATTCATCTTCTCCTCTGAGGCTGAAATTCTTTCTAGAACAAACAAATAATACCCATGGCACCACGTGCTGCACACTCTCTGTAGCCCGGCTGACGCCACACGAGGGAACAGTGGGGAATCTGTTGAAGTTGCCATTGCGTTTTGCTTTCTCATAAACCGCTGTTTGTCTTTCCGCCTTTCCTGTTTTGAGTAGTGCCTGGAAACAGAGGCCTGGGAATTGCCTCCCCCATGTGAGCCCCTGGGTCGTTCACAGCCAAGGCCAATTTGACAACATCCTCCTCTCTGGCTACGAGGCCAAGTCCAGTGTTCTTGGTCCAGTGCCAAAGGTGGACATGAACTCTCTAAACTGTCAAACTAAGAAAATCTGACACACCCATGTGGCCTGGAGAGAGCAAAGCCAAACCCAAAGAGATGCTTCCAGGCAACTTTAGATCCCTAACGTGTTAGCAAAGGCAAGAGCGAGCTTCATTCTGCGAGCTCTCCAGGATTCTCCTTGGACCTAGAGCATTCTAGGATGTTCAGATAAGCTTCACTTCAGACACTGAACTTCTGCCTTGAGCTGACCTCTTCTCTCATCTTTCACTCGATGTCTTCTTCCCCTTCATCCTCTCATAAACCCAAGTTCTACAGCTGTAATAATAATAATAAAAGTTAACTTTAATCAAGTCCCACTCTGCACCAGACACTAGATGATGTGAACCTGTGAACAAGCATAACTGAGGATTCAAACCCAAATCTCTTACGGCAGAGTGAATGTGCCGCTCTGCTACTGTGTTTGTTATCAGAAGCCATGGCTCCCTGATGTACTAGACCCAGACTCTCTGTTTCTTCCTTGATGATACCAGTGACATGCAAACATAACCAGAGGGGCCCAGGCATAGCAGAGAGTCCCATCAGACCTGACAGAAAGCCCCCTTCCAATCTTCTAAAACCTTGCTGCCATTTCTGACTCCGTGTGGTCTAAGAACCTGGTGTAGACATTGTTTAAAAGTCAAAGGGACCTGAAGATCAGCCCCCACTTACCTGCCATGTGTCCTAGAAAGGTCACTGTGGATGAGAAAACCCCAGTTTCCACCTGCTTTATAATTTTGCCTTTGTGTGGTCATTCATACTCATGTAACCTAACTGTAACTGGGACACTGTTCTCTCTCTTTAAGGACTTTGGCAACTGAGAAAAAAGCTACATGACTCATTTCCAAATCCTGAAAGATGAATGCAGATCTTTATGTAAAGTTTTCTGGTGGGGGAGGGGATTGATTACACTGCCCATCACAAAGCTGAACATCCTCAAAATCCCCTTAGAACACCTTTGTCTCTTCTCAAAATTGAGCTCATTATAGCAGCATCTACATTTCTGCCTGCTTGGCCTGCACCTGCCCTTTTCCTCACCCTCCCAATCCTCCTGGGCCCTGCTGCGGCTCCTACATCCCCACTTGCTCCTGGATCTTTGGGCCTAGTCCGTCTGACCTCTCTCAGTTTCTCTTCCTCTTGTCCTAGCTGCCTGTGGAAAGAAAGGCTTCTTCTTACAACAGATGAGTGTGTGGTGATATTCTTCTTCTTATATATTTTTTTGTTTCCATCACGTTACCATTCATGTTTTAAACTATCAAATGTCAACAAGCGTGGCTATCTTTGTGTTTTCTCTTCAAAAATATGTGATGGCCAGAGAAATCTCCACCATGGTCTTCCTGAAACCACTGCGGTAATTTTTTTGCACCCTTTGGTTATGTCAACATGATCTCAAATGAGAAGATGAAAAGTAAAAACTTCCTTCAGTGCTCCAGGTATTTCTCAATATGTAGATATTTCTTTCTTCCTAGGAAAAATCCAAATGGATTTCTCACTTTTTGACCAGGTGTTTTACTGTCACACAGCCCCTGTGACAGTATTGGCCCCTAATACAGGCAGAGTTGAAAAATGATGTGATGGGTCATAGTTGCCCCTCTACTCAGAGAAAACTTCTAGACCCAATCACGGTCACTGAAAGTACTAAGAATTATATCTGAAATCAAGCATTGGTAGCAGAACACAAATATGTTACCAAATTAGCTGGAAGGTAAGGCATGGGGGAGTCATGAGGGAGCCCCATCCTCTTCTGTCAGGGGAATGAGAACAGTTTGCAGCACCTGTCAGGCCACGTGAATACCCAAGGAGTGATGGGACAATCCTTGGCACCCAGAATTGGCCTTGCAGAGTGGAAGGAGTTTACGTTTTAGAATCTAACATCCCTGTGCTTAAATCCTGGGGTTTGCACCTAAATTATAATAGGGCTAATAGATTAAACATATTTTTCTCTCTGCCACTCTGAGTACGTGATTCTAATCTGCCCTAGGCATTCATTGACCTCAGAGAGATTGGGATTTCTGTAGAAGGAATTCTAAGAGAGAAAAGGGAATTCAATATTCAGCTTCTGATCTTCAAAATAGCATTTTCAACAAGACAGTAGACTTTTACCCAACGTATTTTCTTAAGATGTTCTAAACTCTTTTATTTCTCAATTTTTACCCATCAAAAACCCTGCCTGGAGGCCTCTACTCACAGAGTAGAGACAGTCGTACTGGCTATGCAGCGAGGCCGCAAGGCTTTCTGCTCTATGATGGGCTATTTGACCTAGGAAAACTAAAAAAACAGCCCACCCTTCCTGGCACAGGGGAGTTGGGGATGAAGAAGAAGGGAGAGGCAGGGGGGTCAGGGAACTAGAGCATGTTAGGAGCTCCATGTGGTACTTTGCTTGGGTGTCCTTCCGGATTGTGGAGGGAGGCAAGCAGCCCACCTGTAACCCCCACTCAGTATCCCCATGGTTACTCTGGAAGACAAACAGAAGAAATGCAGAACCCGTATTCGCTTTCCAAAGTCTTCCACCCATAGATTCCAGAACCCCCATCTCCCCAGTGCTGTGAGGTCACAGGAGCCTAGTCCCCGACTCCCAGCCCCACTGACTCAAGAAGGAGAGCAAGGAGGGGCAGGTTCTCTGAGAAACTGAGGATTTCAATGCAAAAGAGACAGAATTCTCTAGAAGGACTATTTAGATTATTACATCAGACTAGGTTATCATCCAAAATGGATGAAATTAAAGTTGTTGTTGTTTTCCCACCACCCAGAAGTTAGGAGCTTGTAAGGAAGACTGTAACAGTTGAAAACCAAATGAGGCACATTTCCATTGTACATCCCAGGAGTAGTTTAAATGGCTTAAGGACCAGCTATGTGTGTGTTTGCATACGCGTATGTGCCCTGGGCAAGTCTAAGACTCAGTTTCTTCATCTGTTGGATGAGGATGAATAATATTTCCCATCTCAATAGCCTTGTGGTGTGTTTAAATGGTAGTTGCATAAACATCCCTAGCTCACTGCAGGGATTCAGTGAGTGTATTTCCTTGCTGGTGCTAAGGTACGAGACTAGGGCAATAAAAGGAACAAGATAGGGCAGAGGGTACTTGGCCCAGGCCAGTGCCCAATAGCCACAACCTCCTTCTCCATGGAGAGTTGAACAGACACCCATCCAATCTGCAGACAACAGTCACAGGTGGGTTCCTGGTTTTTATTTTGCTGCAACACACATACAAGAGAAAATCCACATATGAGAAGTTGAGTGTGCAGTCACCTGGGCCCACAGAGCCGTTCTCGTTCTTTCAAAGACCACCTTTGATATCTGCTCCTCTCCATGTGCATTTTGAGCCCTAGGGATCTGCTTTGCCTTATGCTCATCAGGACCTGTGCTGCACTGAGCCTGCCAGCAAACCAGGGCTGAGCTGTGCTTGCAAGAACTTGTTGGAGGCTGGGTTAGAGTCTTGGCTCCCCAGTCCCCATTCAGCCTCCATGCCCTGGTAAGAATATATTATTTTCTTAGCTCAAATTGCTGTTTCCAAGTCATTATTTCTCTACGACGAGAAAACAATATTGGGTCTTATGTAATATCAACCTCAATGAATCTGGAAGTGATCATGGAATGGGTGGATTTTTTTTCCTCCTTAAAAAAGAGAAAAATAAATCTAAGATTGTTTGCATATGGCTGAGAATATTTATGAACTATTCCCCTTGTTTCCTCGTCACATATTTTACCCAGTGCATTTGTGTGTGGTACAGAATAAATCTTTATGGAGAGCAGAGGTGGAGAGGGGAAGAAAGCAGTTAAAACACTGGGTATCTATCAAGTCCCTGGGGTGTTAGTGATCCTGAGTCTTGGGTGCCCCAACCCTAGGCTCATTTGCTGTAGTCGGAGGGATACCCCATCTAGCTGCTCAGAGTAATTATTTAGAGTGAGGGTTTAAAATACAAACACAAGGAATTAACATCTTTTTGTTGCTCTAGTTTCTTTGACATCCCCCTTGTTCCTACCAGAGCAGAAAGTTCAACACAAATAGTTTAATGACCTGAGTACCATCAGCCAAGAGAGATCATTAAATTCTATGGATGGCAGATTGAGCCACGGTCAGAATGAGTTGGCAGGTGGGAGGAAAAGAACTGGCAGAGAGTATAGTGGGTGCTGCCATTTGCTATCCGATAATATGGCAATGTTTTAGCACACAGGCATGTTGGGTCTATTTTGCTCTGGGTGTGCCTTTCAACACAGCTTGTCACCAAGGAGCATCCCAAGGGAATATAAGGAATAAGGCTTTGGCCGTATACTAAATAAGTAAGGGAAACAAATCTCCAGGCTATTGATTTTCCTCTCCAGAGAGGTGGCCACAAATTTGGGGCTTCTTAAAATCACCCATTCTCCACTGCAGCTTGAGATATTCAGGAATATATTGACCAAGAATATGGGGCAAGGAACAGAGAACAGGAGGACCCCACATTTGGTAAGGCAATAGCAACAACTACCATTAATTGATGTCCTCGTATGGGCCAGGCACTGTATTAGGTGCTTTCCCTGCATTATCTGAGTTAATCCCAGCAGTGGTCTTACCAGGGTGAAGGATCCTTAGTCCCATTACTGAGACGAGAAAGCAGAAGCTCAGTGAAGTAGAGAAACTTGCCCAAGGTCACATGTAAGTGCCAGGATCAACGACATTTGTGGGATTTATGAGGCCTTAAGGCAATACAATAAGTACCAACACGGAATTCTTGAAATCAGATCCAAGGACTTGGAAGGGACCCAGGAAAGTAAGAGATCTTGAAGCTGAAGGCTCAGCAGCTTCCCAGTGAATCCACCCTGAGCAGCCTTGAGCTTTAAACACAGGTTAGCCCCAGGCCAAGCAGTCCTTTCCCTGCTGCCTTGTCTCCTCTTGCTCTACCACGGTTGCCACCAACTGCAGCCTTCACATTCCTGGTCAAAAATACACAAACCCGAGTGAGGAGACTGATACACAGAGGGTGCCTTCCAGAATGTGCTGACTTGGAAAGCTCCATGGAATGTCGCAGTTGCGACATAAATCAACAATGATTCCTGCCACCGGACTTGATGCCTTCCATCTCAAGGAATTACCGGAGGGGATATACAGAACTATCTTCCCAAGGAACTTCAATCACTGCTCCAGGCTTTTCACCAAATTTCATGATATTTCCCAGACCTGGTGACATGGGTACAGACTTGTGCAGCAGCCCACTCAGGTCTCCAGGACCTTTTGAGATTAGAACCTGCAATGTCTCATCTGCTATTGTATGACTCTTTCCCTCAGAGGATATTTATTGGTCAAAGTTTGACAGGCCCAGTATTTGATTCTTCCTTTCTTCATTATAATCAAGATTTTGCCATAATCTCCATAAATGAAACGGGTAGAGGGTTTTGAGCAAGCAAACAAATAAATCACAAGTGCTTTGGGGAGAAGAGCATAATAAGCATTGTCTAGTACCCACCCTTTGCCATTGCCTTTGTATAGCCTTGCAATCCCATCACAGTCTAGACAATTACTAAGGAATATACTGCATTTTCCCAGCCCTGCTTAGTCTAGTCTCCCAAACTGGAAACACAAAGCAGATGATGAAGTAGTTCAAATGCCACACCAGGGAGAAGAAAGTATTGAGAAACTATGCCCAGCCTCCAGGCAGTTTTCAAACATTCCAGTAAGTGTTCAATTGATTTATGTTGGGCTGGTGTCATTCCATTGTCTCGAACAAAAGGCCTTCTATGAAAAGACAAAAAGTGGGTTATGAGAGGAGTGGCTAACAAGGCATATTTGGGAAAACCTGAACAAGAGTACAGCCCTCTTGGCTTTGCCTCCAGAAGGCAGTGTCCCCCTTGTGTCTACTGGAATGAACAGCAGGATCGACTTCCATTATCTCAGTGTCAGGCTCTAAACCAGAGTCTGGAAAAACAGCTGCTGGGGATGGGGCTGATGACACAGGTGCAATGACTGATGCCCTGGTCAGCCATCTCCTCCACGGTTTTCCTTTGAGCTCAAGTAGAAAGTGTCTGTGGTAGTGTTCTCTGATTAGAATGGACTATGAGATTCTGGGCGAAATGATTTTCAGTGATGATGGCTTCCCATAGTTGTTCTTTTGGGTATTTTGTCTGCTTGTGTGTCTAAACAAATTATGTGACAGATAATTATTTGGGCAAGACTGTAAAAGCCTTCTCCCACATTATCTTCCTTTGGGTGTTCATTCTTTGAGTCACAACCATGACAGCTTTCTGTGCGGCTGGGGGCTGCACATTTCTGGTGGAGCCCTTCCATTTGAGACAGCAGTGATTTTTAGAACAAGCTTCCCTAGAGTAAACCCAAGCATTCTTCCCTGATACTCATCACTTCTCTGGGGGTGACATCAAAAAGGGCTGTTCTTTTCCTTCTGTCATGTCCCTCTGAAGCCCTTGTCCCCAACTCTTCTTGGGTTGGGTTAGCTATAGTTAATACTTCCACAAAATCTGATGCATATCTCTGTCCTGGAACTTCTATATAGTTTTTATTTACCTAGGTAATAGCCTTTTCTTCCTAAAAATGTAATATGTAGGTTGATGTGGAATATTAGCAAATTATAGATAACCAAAACTTTTTACAAAAATGGCTAGTATTGGCCAGGCGTGGTGGGTTACATCTGTAATCCCAGTGCTTTGGGAGGCCGAGGCGGGCCGATCATGAAGTCAGGAGATTGAGACCATCCTGGTCAACATGGTGAAACTCTGTCTCTACTAAAAATACAAAAATTAGCTGGGTGTGGTGGCTTGTGCCTGTAATCCCAGCTACTCGGGAGGCTGAGGCAGAAGAATCGTTTGAACTAGGAAGTCGGAGGTTGCAGTGAGCCCAGATCACACCACTGCACTCCAGCCTAGTGACAGAGTGAGACTCTGTCTGAAAAATAAATAAATAAATAAATAAATAAATAAATAAACAAATAAATTGGCTAGTATTATTGCACCTACTGCAACCTCTGCCTCCCGTGTTCAAGAGATTCTCCTGCCTCAGCCTCCCTAGTAGCTGGGACTACAGGCACATGCACCATGCCCAGCTAATTTTTGTATTTTTAGTAGAAACAGAGTTTCACCATGTTGGCCAGGGTGGTTTCGATCTCTTGACCTCATGATCTGCCCACCTTGGTCTCCCAAAGTGCTGGGGTTGCAGGCGTGAGCCACCACGCCCAGCCTGTATTTCTGTATTTATGTACGTTTTTCAAAGCAAAGGATTAGCTAATGTTTATTGTTTGGTTAGGGTTTGCCTTTTCAGGCTATTTAGTACACTTCTACTGCACTGTGTTAATGGTTTCCAGGTATTCTGCAGTGTGTGGGGAGCGGGCAATGTGATGAGGGGGACAGGATTCTAGATGAGCTACTCCACTCTGAAGACCCTATGACGGTATCCACTGGCAAGCAGTTTGAATAAAGGCCCTTCTTTTACTCTTCCATGCCAGCCCTTGAGAGAGGCCTAACCAAGGCTCTAAAGAAATTGGATGACTACCTGAACACCCCTCTACCAGAGGAGATTGACGCCAGCACTTGTGGGGAAGACAAGGGGTCCCGGCGCAAGTTCCTGGATGGGGATGAGCTGACCCTGGCTGACTGCAATCTGTTGCCCAAGCTCCATGTGGTCAAGGTAAGAGAGCTCTACCCACAGAGGCCTGCAAGATCCAGTTCCTTCTTAGGTCCAGGTCACCTGTGTGGATGAGTCAAGGACAGTAGCATCTGTTGGTCAAGAGCCTGGACCCTGAAGTCAGGTAATAAGGACCCAAGGTCACCCTCTGCTGCTTGATGGCTGTGTGGCCTCTTTGATCTTCAGTTTTCATTTATAAAAATAGGCATATATTGCTTACTCCAACGGATGGTGGAAGAGTAAATACAGCGTGAAAGTGCTTGGCATATTGTAGGGGTTTAATATGTGTAATAGTCACAATCATCATTCTTGTATACAGTCATATCACTCCAGAGGCCTCTTCCTCATAGGATTTCCCTGGCCACACCCCTACAGCTCTATTAAATGTGCCCTCATATGCATTTTTTCTTTGTGCCCAGACCCACCTTCTCACTTCTTCCAGTAGCTTCCTGAGGTGAGCCCACATCATTTTCCTCATCTATCAAATGAAGAGGGGGAGGTTGCAAGAGGTGATGTCACTTTCTTGCTATCATTGCACTTACTAACCATCTGCAACATGTAGTGTAATCCTCTCCTATACAACAAATTCTGGGAATCTGAGAGTTGGAAAGGACATTTAGAGGTCATCCAAAACAATCTCCCACTTCAACCTGGACCACTTTCTGCTGTTTCTTTGACAAGCTTCTGTGAAGCTGTGACTGCAGCTTCTGAGAACGAGGAGTTCTCTGCCTAACGAGCCAGCCCTACCATGTTAGATAGCTCTGATTACTAAATCATTGTTCTCTACAATGAGCCCAAGCATGCCTCCCTGCTATCCATTTGTTCTCTAGAGCAACACAGAACAGCTCTGCTTGCCTTCACCTCGTTTGAAAACAGTAGTTGTATCCCCCTAAGCTCTGTAAATGAGCACGTCTTCCCCCATCCTTTCCTGACCCTCATCAGCCTAGTATCAGATAGCCATACTGTGCTCTACTTTTACACACGCTTATTTCTCACTGTCTCAGCCAGACAGCAAGCTCTGTGAGGATAAGACCTTTTCAAAACATGATGGTGGGCAAATGGTGACCCTTTAATAAATACTCATTGATTGATCATGTGATCGCCTGGTGTATGTCTTTATGATACCCAGTTTATTTCTATGCTTCACTGAGAAGACTCAGATTCAATCATTTGTCAGCTGGATATATGCCTATTATTTTTCAGCTCAAGTCCTGAGACAGAAATGCTATCTCCTCTCCAACCAGAGCATGTACCAGCTTGAGTTGAAGTCACTCAGTTGTGTGTACGCTGGTGTTTCCATAGGCCTTAGTCAGAGCTGAAGACTGAGAGGGAATCTTGCATAAAAATGGATTGGGCAAATACAACCTATTTAGACAAAAACATTTTGGATTTGGGGCCAAGCCAATAGTCACTTGTAGGTCCAGCCAATCTATGTCTCTTTGAAGTTATTAAGTACTGCACGCCCCACCCATCATCCTTTATTCTTCTCCTCCTTAGGAACAAGTACCTTTGAAAGGGATGATATAATTCCAGCTCAGTCACACTGTGTCAGAGTGATACAACGCAAAGATCAGGAGACCCAAGTTCCAGTCCTGTATCTTGCTGCCAACTAGCAGCATGAGCTAGGGCACATCATCTAATCTTTTTGGAATTCATTTTTCTTGTGCCTAGGAGAACAGAAGTGGATAGTATTCCTTCTTGCCTTCTTTTCCTTTCTTCCTCCCCTCCTTCTTTCCTTTTCTCTTGCTCAAACATTCACTACCACTCAAAAACCATTTGTTGAACAAGGCAAACAAATGGATCTCCCAAGCCTTGGGCTTCATCCTGTGATTTCCTTAATTCCTACCAGCCTTAAATGACTCAGTGAAGCCCTGTCCTTGGAGAAATTTCAGTGGGTGGTTCACCCAGAGAAGCTGGAGATCAAAAAGAAGATGGCCAATGAGAGAATAAAGGCCAACCTTTGGCCCCTATCTCTTTGGATTTCTGCTGATCCAGCTTATCAGATCCCAGAAACCTGGCAAACCTCTGAAGTTCACAAAGAGCAAAGGGGAAGCCAAGTCAGGCCTCCAGTTTGGCTTCAGATGCCAAAACTTAATCTGGGCTGTGGGAGCTAACTGTTTTCATATGAAAGAGCAAATTCAGAACATGAGCATGGAAGTCCCTGCGAACGTCAGAGCTCTGTGTGCATCCTCACCCCCTTGCTGCTTTCATGCTCTCTCTCCTCTTGCCTGGCTCACTTTCAGGTTTTTCTCCATCCCTGGAAGTGGAGTTGCTCTGGCCCAGGCTCACCATGAGAGTTTGGCTTGAACATTCATTGTCTGGCCCCCTCCTAGTTCTCATCTCCCAAAGTCAAGCCAATGTGTGAAGAAATGACCAGCTCAGCAGCCAAGGACCAGGGTACACAGGTCTTGGTTGGGAGGGGCATCTGCAGGCCTTTCCTTGCCCACTGGGATCCTTGCCTAGCATAGTGATGATGTTCAGCCCTGGAGACAAACAGGAAGGGGAACATCAACATCAATATAAATACATATTTATAAAATGTATTTCTGCTGTATTGAAGCTAATATTCTGCCCTTTAAAATCCTGAAAATATAATTTCAGTGTGAAATGACTTGAAGTTACTCTATGAATCAGTGTGTCATTGTGAAAAATAGTTTTGGATCCCTTTACCTTATTGTAGACCTTTTTCATCCACTCTGGCAAATTCCAGCCAGTTCCCTTGGTCAGGCCACCACTCCTGCATGAATTTGCTCTTAGCCAAGACAGTCTCTTCTCAAAGGAACTTGGCCCAACCTAAGGGATCATCATCTTTCACTGAACAGAAAGACTGGGGAGATATCATGGTGGCATCTCTCGCTGTGAGAGCTTTATCAAAGGACTCAGACTTCATCACCCTTGCTTGTAGTTACCTAAGCCAGACAGAACAGTGTGGAGGTGGCTTCTTTGGTGCCCACACCATACCAGTTATTTTAACAGAGAGAATTTAAAGAAGTACTATGTACTAA